AAATATAGTTGATGCACCCTCATCTAAGTCTGAAACCTGCCTTCCAGTGGTATAGAAGACCCAATCAAAAACAACCTATGCTACTTACCTGTCCTCTCCCTTTTCTCATCTGGTACCAATATTAGGATTCTGACAACTTTCTCGACTTCTCAATCTAAGACCATTGCCAACAATCAGACATCAAAGCTCAACCCGTCTCCCGAAATCCCACTGTAGATGTCATACTAGGGCTTTCAGCGTCCGGACCCTGTGCCAAATTCAACGACAGGCATCGCTCACCAGAAATCTAGAATCTTGAGGCATAGGTGTATTCTGTCTCTGAGACGCGTATGAAGGATCTGAGTTTGGTTATTAACCTGACATCACTTGGCCATTGCGGTGAATCTGTAAAATTCAATTTAAGTGTTCGTGGTCTCGTTGTTCTAGGCAGAGCATCAGTATTAATTTGTAGAGCAGGAAGCTCACTCTTCGACTGAATACCAGTCAACAGCAGTATACCCATTGTTCGACTGAATAGATTTGTAAGAACTAGGAAGAATAATGAGACTGACCGATGTCACTGTAGACTTCTGGACACCTTGAGTGGCGATTTGAGAATGTTTCGGATGCGTTTCTCGCCATGACTGGTCTTCAGTTGTACCCAGACTAACAATAGAGTGAAGTAGTTGAGCGCCCTGAACACTTCACTTACATAGGAAGTCGGATCAGACCTAGTACTATTGGTCAATGACCGATGAACTCTCTGCACATACAAAAGGCTCGATTAGCTTTTGCTGACTTACGCCATCTGTGGCACCACCGCGATATCCGGTCATTTACTAAGGATCGAGTGTACTGTGCTGCAGTCCGCTCTATTTCATCGTATGGCTGTAAAACATGGGCATTAAAGGTAAAAGATATGAGGCTTCACGTGTTTGACCACTCCCTTCGTAGCATACACCGTGTGTCATGATGTCATTACGTGAGTAACTCAGACGTCAGATTTATATTTTTAGGGAGGATAGGTAAGTCGGTTGATGAGGCCAAGAACCTTTATAGACTAACATGGCTTGGACATGTGTTACGCATACTTAGCTACCGTCTGCTTTGTCACACAATCTTGGCTAAAGTAGGTTCAGGCTGGAAAAAGGTTCCGGATGGACAGACCGAATCATAGCATCAAAGCATGACGTCCCTAATTGTATGTTTTAGCCGTGTAGGACGATGAAGACAAGGTGGTCGGGGTCTACGTGGCAATAGAAACCAGTGGTTGGAGACTGCCTTTGGGTGATATGGCTCAGAATTGATGTCAGTGGAGCAAATGCATACACATCTTAACCGCTATTCTTTATCTTACTGTCCTCATTCCTCCTTCATCTCTTTTACTACATTCTGCTGATAATTTCTTTGACCGATTTTTCTTTCCTTCTGTATCTTCCACTTTATTGAGTTATTACTCGTACTGATATGAGGTGTGGCAACTTGGACCGTTATGCAGTAATGCCTAGTCCTACGTTGACCTTGATGATGAGCGGATGTCTATTCGCAGTCTTTGTCTACGAATACAGCAACTACAATCCAGATGACTCAAAGGATAGATTTTGTCAGAAACTGTCAATTTTCCTACGTTCAGATCTAGTAAAAATAGCAAACGACTTCAACACTCAAGCAGGCCAACTGAGCAAAAGCGGTGGTATCTACGGGATGCCATGTTAATTAACCGACAACTATACAACCTGTTGCAATTTTGTCTTGACATTTACTTGTTTCTAGTCAGAACTAATTTCAATGATAACGCCAGATACTTCCAAATGGTGTCCGCCGATATCAAACCAAAGAGGGACATAAAGATCATAGTGCCATAGACCGTCGTTCGACAGGATCGGTGGAGGATTGCCACTTTATGGAGTATCTGTTCAGAATCCAATTACGCGTTAGTACGGGCACATGTATATTTGCGCCTCACCAGTAACAGATGTCAGCAAGCCTAGGTGTGCTCGATTGGAAGATGATAACGTGAAATATATAGGAGTAGCTAAACCCTTATCTAAACGTGACCACAATCCTCATCCTGAGGAAACCTGGTGCGAAATCCAGTCTGCTGTAGAAACAGAGACAAACAGTTGGCAACCTACACCCAATGGTTACTAAACGTCGATGTATTTCCAAAATGTCACCCGAACTGATTGATGCGAGAAGACTCATTTCAGCTAATGAAGAGCGAAAGCAAATTAAACATAAACGGACCGAGAGTCTTTTCGATGATCGCGAGCAGTGGTGGGTGGCGAAGGCGAAAGAGATAGAGAAGTGGAAAAGATTCATTTAGCAACCTCGTACACATACGTACTGTAGGCAATGAGCCAAACCTATTGCGTGAGGAATAATGATATCACCTAGTTTCCCAGACCTTGGTCGGTGGGGCGAGGCTCGAACATATGACTCACCACTGGGCTAAAAACATCTCCCTAAACCAATGAACCACAACTCCACAGATGCTGGAGGTATCAGCAGCAAATACCCGGCAACTATATAGGTTTATTAAGGATACCGGTAAGAAGCAGACGATGATTAATGAAACAAGTATCAAAAAGAATGGGACGCTGATAAACTTTCAACAAGGTGGCTAGGATGTTGGGTGGGATACTGAAGCGCGGTTCAACTAGCTTACATCCACACTCAAGTTGCCCAACATCCAACCCAAACCTGAATGGGCCGTAGATGTCAGCTCCCCAGCTCTCCTCAAAGTTGAGAAGGTCGTTTCAAACCTAGAACGATGCAAAACAGCAGGATTTGATGGTTTATCACTCGAAGTATTTAAGGATAGAGGTTGGAAGTTACTGAGTAGAGTAATGGATTTACTAGGTAATGTATGGTAATCAGAGGCAATCATGGCAGGCTGGCCTAAATCGCTGATGATTAGATTTTATAGGGAAGGAGAATAGCGTTCCTCATTTTCATCTTACGACTTTATCACTTGTTGTGCTGATATGAGATGTAGCAACTTGAACTATTACGCAGCAATGCCTGGTCTTATATTGGTATTGGTTGTTTGACAACTATTGGGGGTCAGTTTAACTAACAGTGTGTTTAAGTCCCTACGGTCTTTAGCTATCTGACACCTAACTGGAGCTTGAGAACAACAAACTTGAGAAAACCAGGCAGTTTTCAGACCTAGATGAAAAAGCATCATTCAGATCTCCACCCTTCGACAGGTTATGGAACACAAGTATACTTATCGGCGACCGACACATGCCATATTTCTTGACCTGAAGGCGGCGTTTAACTGTCAACTGAGAGGTGTTGTAGCAATGTCTGACTGTAAAGAAGGTACTGAGCAAGTGTATAATGTTACTCAAAGCTGTCTATTCAAACTCATCCAGCCGTTCAAGGGCTCATGCAGAGTTTTCATCAGAATTGACCATGGCGTCCGTTAGGAATGCCTGTTGTCACTGTTTCTATTTACCTCCATCATGAATAAGTTAATATACATAACCTCAGATATGAGTTCACAGGGGTTGACCTACCTCCTGGAGGGTACCAAACTGACTTGGAGTAGGCAGGCGACAGTGTTGTGTTAGGCTGACAGTGGCAAAGTGTAGCTTTTTCTGAATACGTTGAACATAAAGCTGAGTATGTTTGGCACGCGTTTTGCACCTGCCAGATGGAAGATGACGCTTCGGGACTGGTCTTTAGATACTGCTATTTTAGAGTAGGAAGTTAAGGGGTTCAATGGGTCGGTTAGTACTTAATTGGGGAGATGTATCAACTCGAACGTGTTGGTTGGTGACGAAATTTCATCTCGGATACAGAAGACCCGTTCGGTATTTGCCAACTTATATAATCTCTGGGACCGACTAGTGCGATATCCATCTACCCATTAAAGGAGTATACTGCGCTGCAGTCTGCTCTGTTATACTATATGGTTGTTAGACATGATCGTTAAAAGTAGAGGATATGAAGAGGTTACAGGTTTTTGACGACAAGTGTCTTCGCATTATTCCTCATGTATGATGGGACAACCATATAAGCAATGTTTAGGTCCGGCGAAGGGTACCACCCAAGAAAAGTAAGTCAGTCGGTGTGGTTGTATACTTTCACGGAGTGACGTGTCTTGGGCGTGTGATGCGCATGTCGATCTATCTACCTACCTTAATATGCCATGCTAGAAGTTGGATTCGATCGGGACAGTATTCAGGCTACCCAGACCAAGACGTGGCGGTAGTCCTGGAGCCCATATTGCCATAACGTCGAATTTTCATCTACTTTCACTGTTGTCGATTGCAAAATTTAATTCCTTAGTTTGTTAAATTAATTACGAGTAGTTTCATTTGAAATTTCACAGATTCACCACTGATTTATGTCGTCCACTTTACATAAGGGAATGATCTACGTCGGACATTTACCATAGAAAACAGATTTATCGGGGAGTTAATTATAGTTTTGCAGCACAGTGCCCATCAAGCTTGAAATTTCACAGGAAAACATCTTTTAGTAAACGACTTTATCGTTTTGAACATAGCTTCACAAGGAACTTAATTATTTGCACTTTATGAATGCGGACAGATTCGAATCTTAAGAGACTACATCTTGTCAGGTAATGAGTGAGGAATTTAGTGGTGATTCGTTCTACTTCTTTTGATAGTAGCTCAATTTAACTGATTATTATACTTCGTAGTTAAACCTTAATGACTTCCTCCACTTTGTCCATTCCAGGTGTTCGTTGAGTTGAAAACCTGAAAGACTGGCCTATAGGGCTTCTCAGAGTATGGCAGGGACTAGAGACAATCAAGAGTCAACGTGCAAAATTTGTGTGGCCTCAGTGAGAAAAATAGTTAGGTTTACATCAACAAGACAAAGCTGGAATAAGAAATACTACTACTTAAGCTGTTTCTTGAACTCTCAAGTATCCATTACGTTTATCGTCTTAGAATTCAAGCAATCAAAGATAATTATTCGATCTGATAGAAAACTATGCAGTATGATAGTGGTAACAAAACATTAAATTTACAAAGTCAACGTACCCCCAAATATATCCATAACTCTCGGAACGTGAAATTCTATTTTTAAAATATATCCGGCACACCCATTACTGTGGTGTTTCTGGTTATCCACTTTATTTAATGATATAGCGCACTAAAACCAAAGACACCCCTAATGGCTCTGTTTTTTGAAACAGTGTGACAGTAGCCCATAAGTCCAGTAAAACAAATTGAAAGATTCACCAAGTATTTCTCACATCGTTTGAAATGACGCTCGTCAAGAGGGCTGTCTCAAACATGTGAAAACAGGAAAGTCTCCCGTATGCTTAATTTCTTGAAAACACTAAATGGTGAACACGCACTTCAACGGGTAATACCTTTGTTTATGCTCCTGGTTGCAAAAATACCAAACAGCGTTTCCCAAGCTCTTTACATATGATGGTGAGGACGCTCTTCCTCGATCTTCTGGAATTTTCCTCTTAGTCTTGGGAAACCTGAGGTGACAGAGGTGATCAGCTAGGATTATTGAGCTCTCTTCTGGTTTTAGTCCTATCCGCTGACCTTTAGGGGGTAAAACGTTTCTCAGGTACGGTTTACCTGCATTGAACAACTTTGGATAGGTATCTGACTCACTTTCAAAAGCATCGGGACGGGAAGCCAGCATTTACTTCCAGCGCACCTTGTAAACTTCGGGTTTTAGCCCAAAACTACTTCGGAATAACTTGTTAAGTTTTGAGTACTTGTGAGCACTTTGGAACTTTTAATGCTTTCGGAGGAAAGTTTTGGAAGTTTCACGGAATTTTGTGCGTATCTCCACTTCAGCTAGAAGTAATTGGGGGGCTGCTCAAAACTTATATAGTGCGCCCAAAGCAAATGCAGGCTGGGGAGCTGTAGAAAAATACACTTAAGGCATCCCGCAACTAACTGATCTCAACTCCAAACCATTTGGCATGAATCTTCGTTCATGCCTTCCTAAACTCTATAACTGGAGGGCGAATCCAACGTAGGACTCCCGAGTGGATATTATTAGATATCGTTAAGGAATGGGGGGATTTGGGGCTATTTGGTATAGTATGATAGTGTTACGCTTGAATGATAGCGTTGTTCACCCCATGTAACTTTATTCAAATACCTTTGCCGATACCCCTCGTAAAAGTATAATACTAACGATGAAACTATTCTGTTTGGGTACATTGGATATCAGAGTATTAATAATAGAATCACTTCAAATGCTGTGCCATGATTTCTGTGCTTTGCTTGTCGTCGTGTTTCTTGCTGGCACCTGTCTGTTAGGATTACATCTGTAATATTGTGGTCGAACGAAGGAGCTAGCCACCTGCGTTAACTTAGGAACTCATGTGAAACTACTGCTGTTCTGCATACAGGTTTCACAAAAGTCATGGACACTAGTCCTGAGCAGTCGGGCTCTTGACATCGGCCTCACGCATTTCATCAAATGGTTCAAATGGTTGTTGACGGAATAGAAGAAGCTTGCGCTTAACTGGCTTCCGCGTCTACAATCCATGGATCGCTACTCCTCTTGGTTGTTAACCTGTTGTACAAGTAAAGGAAGGTGAAAAGATGGCGATTAAAATGTGAAAATTCACTTAGTTCCGGTCAGATCCCAAACACACATCAGGTGAGTGTCCAGTAGGCGTCTAAAAGATTCAGACGAAGTAGCCTGGATCACATCTTCAGGAAGAGCGTTCCAGGGTTTAACAACTCTTGGGGGACGGAAGTTGTGCCTGACATCCAGCCTGCCATGTTCCAGGCTTAGTTTCTGTGCATGTCCTCTAAGATTAGCGTTGCAGCTAAGATGTAATAAGTGACGGAGTGGGTGGCCAGGCGTGCTCGGAATGTTGTAAGTCATGAACAACTCTCCTCTTAGCCTTCTGTACTCCTGAGGATACAGATCCAGGGCAACTGGCTGTTCATAGTATGTTTTGGACCTGACGATAAAATCCACATCAAGCATTTCGGACTCATTCTCTACTAACTTTTGTTTCATTCAAACCTGCTTTTACTTTTGGAAAGCAGTTAACTCTCATTTAAATCCCGTACACATCTACCTTCGTCTCGACTTTGCTTCGTGTCTTCACGGTTACTATAATATCAGGCATTAGTGCTAATACTTCCTCAGGACCAGTATCCTTCAACGTTCTTTCCCTCAATGTTCTAATTTTCGCCCTTGAAGACTCCCAGTTATAATGTGCCAGGCTAGGGGCCCATTTTATCACGAACAAAATCACCCTCCAGATTCCAACCGCGTCAATCAGTCATGCAGTCAGAGACGCTGTGACTGAGCTATTTGGGCCGTGGTTAACCTCCCGCAGGACTGGGTTAAGCACGCTGCTTGGTCACTGAGAGTTGACTAACCTCACGGTGCAACTTTTTGATCGTCCCAGTACCACTCCACTGGACGATACCGCAGACTAACTGCCCCAAGACACCACACACAGAGGCTCAGCGCAACGACCCTAGGCAAACAGACATCCAATTTACCCCATCGTCTGATGGGCAAGCGTTAGTGCGTTCGTTAAGCTGACTAGAACTAGGAGATAAATCTCCTCTAGAGCTACTGAAATAGCTACGGGCGTTAACTGCAAACCAAGAAGCAGATGGAAGGTCTTTGTATGAGATGTGTTCGCGACGGCTGCCAGCCACTATTCAACGGGTTCTCGCACTTGATGATAATGATACGGACAGTGACAGGCCCCTTACAACAGGCGACAGCATGTGAGAAGGAACTGTGTCCACTGCCACCATCTTCACCATAAAAGTAGGTGACCCTCAGGTCGGAATGTAGCCGCAAGAGAGAAAAATGAGCCTCCGGGCCGACCAAGTGGCATCATCAACAACAAACTACAGATCCAACCACAACCGAAATGTGTCGTACCGACGCCGATCATGCACACCTGAGACACTGAGGGATACCACTGACATCCGCTGGTACCAAAAAGAGCTTGGCAGTCATGCCTAACGTCGCTTACTGTCGCGCGACTTTAAGAATACACATAGACCCTTCTCGAGAAACGAAAAATTGTGCAATCTGCAACGATTTCCGTCGTCGCACCGGAAAATCCAACGCACGCTTGTTATGTGTAGTATAAAAATAGTGGTGTTCTTTTGTGGACATCGCAGACGAAGTGAGCCCCTTTTCTCCCAACGGCTACGAACGTCGACGTTCTGGCTTTATCTCCGCAGGCGGTACGTAAGTCTAATAATGTTACTCGTGGATAAAATTCTACGACACTGGTTTCCGATGTTGATGTCTACTGGTCGTTTGCACTGACAGGTGTGCCACAGCCTACTACTGAGAGTGATTTCCTACCCCACCATGGCTTTCGATTGGCGCGTGGAGCCACAGGCTGATAAATTCAGATATAACAGCCTACATTGGTGGAAAGCTCACTAACTCGACACGTATGAAGTTGGCAGTTACTAGTGCAACCACCTCGCCGTGCACCAAGTTTCCCCATTTATTTCCCGGCCCTGTGCAAAGTACCTGCCTCCAATCAAACGTGAAGCACGACGGCGTTCACCACGTCTCAACAAACGGACCGCTAGTGTTTGCACTCCCTAGGTCTCCTGATCCCCACATTCGCGTGTCTACAAAAGCAGAATTCAATAAAATGCTCGAGCTTGGTATGATGCAACCCTCTAAGGGTCCATGGTTTTCACCACTCTATATGGTCTTCAAGTCTGGCGCTAACTTCCACCCATGTGACATACCAAAATTGGAATAAATAAAGGACCTTTGATCGATATCCATCACCCATATTCATGACTTCGCTGGTAATCTACCCATATCAATGTCTTGTCAAAGACAGGTCCTGTCAGTCTATCAGCATACTCACATTAGTCCTGGCGTCATCCCAGAGACAGCTACTATTACTGCTTTTGGCCTATGTGACGTTGCCTGCAGGCCTCTGGGACATATGCGCGCCCTCAGACATTTCAAAGTTTGAATTTCAAGGGGGTTGTGGGGAGTTGGAAATATTTCAAGTGGTGCTCATCGATGACTAGCTTCGAGAGGTATTCCCGAAGTTCCAATGAGAAGTCGTGACCCGCAGGGGCAAAGCCCGACGGTCGTGAGGAGTGACTCGACGATGACATTGGGTTGTGGTTACCTCATATCGTGAGCTAACAGAAGTTGGAAATATGGACCGCTGGATTCTGACCCAGTGGTTCAATGGTAACGTGCTGCCCACGCAACCTGAAGGTCGCGAGTTCGATCCCTGGTGGGGCCCTGGGTGCGCACTGCTGAGGGGTCCCATGCTAAGACGAAATGGCTAGCTGTCCAGTGCTCCCAGGTTTCCTTTGTTCCTCCAACTGATGCCAGTCTACGGTGAATAACCACTTGAAATATTTCAGTTCCGTTAAAATAGGGGTAAAAATGGAATTCCAAAGTTTCATAGATCAGATCCGCAAACTTCCTTTTCTATATGCTCACACTGACAACTTACTCGTTGCTAGTTCGGCAAAGACAGAACGCACGAATCATGCAAAAGCCATCTACGAACGACTAGACAAATAAGGGATACTGAATAACTTCGGCAAACATGGGTTGTAAAAACGCCATTGAAATTCCTTGAGCACTCAGTTAACAAAAGAGTTATTAATCCAGTCGTAGATGAAATACAAATGGGAGAAGACCGCTCGTTGCAGTAATCACTTAAGAAACTTCGCCTTTGCCCAGGGTTAGTCAACTTTTGCCGTCGTTTTATTCTGAACAGTGCCGCTGTTCCGCAGCTATTAGCTGTTTGTTTAGGCAACATTCCCGCTCTCACCCATCTGAGAATCAGTTCAATCATTCAAAAAGAGTAAACAGCTGCTCAGCGAAACGATGACTGTCTTCAGGATGGACATAAACACCACATTATCACTCATGATAGACCCCTCTAGTGGTACCGTTGGAGAAGTTATGCAACAAAAAGCGCCTGATAAATGGCAACAGCTAGGATTCGTTCCCAAATGCTTGATTCCACCTCAGTGCAGCGGCAGTGCATTTGGAGGGAGTAGTCAGCTCCACGTCTACCTACCAGACACTTCAAGCAGATGTTAGAGGGCACCATTTTTGGTTTTCACAGATCATAAGGCACTGGGCGGGGTCTCATCAGCTGGGCAAAACAGCGACACCTGGAGTTCATAAAGCAGCTTACTTCTGATGTTCAACTCATGAAAGATACCAGAAACGAAGTTGC